CCTGCATCTGCATGGGTTCGCTCCAGGTACTTCTTCCAATCGTCCAAAGACATGCAGATAGTAGAGGTTAGGTGAACTGGTGATTCTAAATTGGCCGTAGATGTGGATGTCTACGTGTTAGCCCTGTCCCAAATTTGTACCCCAGCTTTCATCCTATGGCAGCTGGGATAGGCTCCAGCTCGCCTTGACCCGGAATTGGATGGATGGATCATGCTGGCCAAAGACTTTGATTTTGAACTTTTCAACAAGGACAAAACTACTGCACTGGCACTGATGGGTTGCATTTAATTTACAACTCACAAAATAACAACTTAAAATAAATAAGAGCTGATTATCATGCTATTTGTTGGAACAAACAGAAAGAAAATGCAGTTACAATTAAAATCCGATTCATCTCCGCGTTTTAGCTGCCTAACCTCAAGATATCACCCTGAAATACAGGGATAGACGATGAGTGTTTTTCAGACACGCCATCCTCAGATCTGAAGATTTTGAGTGCTGTGTCTAAAAAAGCATTATGATTGGAGCAAGACTGGTCCCGGTAATACACCAGAGCCGCTTATGTCCCCTGAGCACAATACTTCCACCAGACATGTAGCAGCACATTTCAGTATCTCAGAAGCTACTTTTGGTCCATTTAAGGTAGCACAGAGTAGAGGAAGAAGGCAGAGTGTCAGGGATGTTAACGGCATAGAATAAATGTTCATTTTCCAAAATGATTCCCCGTCCATCCCCATAAAGCCTCTGCTTACAAAGTGCTCAAACATTTCAAGGGTGATACTGCATTTTTTGGACCGGTACCAGCGCCAGTCAGTCAAAGCTGAGCAAACTGCGTGATGACAGCATTTATAAATGTCATCAAGCATCTTTTATGCTTTTTCTTTTTATTGTGTAAAAGAAAGAAATCTGACAACATACAGCAGTGATAGGCTAATATCAGCCAAAAGATGACAACATAGAACCTTTACTGCGAAATTGGTTTCAAATCGTGCTAAAAAGTTACATATGTGGTAATTTGTGGGAGTTGTGATCTAATTTTATTCACATGCAGATGACATTTAAATGTCATTTCATTAAAGTCCAAGAATAGCACAACAAGCAGCACCGTTCATGTAGCAGTAAAACTCATGCTGTAGCAGCAGTTTGAAGAGCTGAAGATGCGTTACTGTAAATACAGCGGATCTATCGATTAACGTTGTCCAACTTTTCTTCTTCTCTCGTGTCTCCTGTTGCTTTAGTCTTCAATTTGAAAAAATAAAGTCAAACTATTTGTCCCACTACAACTAGAAAGGGACGCCTAGTCCTCCATGTTAAATGCCAAATGCTGTTTCCAACAAAAACATCCTTCATGTAGGAAGCTCATCTTCACTCGTTGTCACATCGGCGATGGAGGCGGTTGGAGATAAATGCAAAACAAGGAGGCACGATGTTGATTTCAAACAGTGGATACAGTATTATGATGCATACAGTGTCAAACGTTCATCTTCCTGCAGTGTTACTGTATGTTTATGCGGTTTGTTCGCAGTCCCTGTATTTGTGAAGCTCTGTCTGTACATTTTGTTCATTGATGAATTATTTCCATGCCCTTCATGTGTGTTTATGTTGATTTTTTTTTCTTTTCGCCCTTTTGCGCTACGTGCCAAATGTACTGTATTTTAAAAGGATGTGAAGGTGTATTTTAAATTTTTTTTGAAATGGATTAAATATCATGATGTCAGAGAGAGACGGCTGTTTGTTTGGCGTATCATTTCAGCTCCTGTGATTTTTAATGCTCGCTTTGCACTAATTTCAGATGTGTCAAAAAAACAGATGAAAATATGTTTTATAATTTGCAAAATGCAGAAGCTACTGTAAGTGTATCTTTTCCATCTGAAATATTTGAGATGTTGACTCAGGAGGACAACGTTAAACACCCAAAGCATGTGTTTCTGAACAATGCGGTGCAACGTGCTCTTAAAACGACAGCTCAACTTTGATGTTTCGCTGAGAATAGCAACAATAGCTGTGACACAGGCTGTTCATTGCTGTCTACTTTGGTTTTTAGTTGTACACCTTACATATCATAATTAGAAAAAGTGAATATTTAAAGCCAGCTCTTGGTCTGTTCTGCAGGTGCTTACACATAAACACAAATTGACACAGTTGTGTTACATCTACACCTGACAACCTGCACCATAGATAGAAATCTGTTTTCTAGTTCAGCGGACAATGCCAGTAAATGACTCCCGAACGACAACCGCCAGAAAAGTGCAAATGGTGAACTTGTATGGACTTGAATGGTAAAAATTTTCATGATAAGAGATTCAATATAGAAAATCTAAGTTTTACGTAAAACCCAGAACAAGATTTCCATTTTAACTGAGGCTAAAAGCAGGACAGCAGGCTGTTTTCATTATTCTATTAAAGAATGAGTGGAAGAAATGAGTTTGAATGAATATGCTTTCCATGTTTTTGACATTTTTTCTGGACGTCGCCGATGGAAACACTGCTGTGAAGACTGACAGCAGATCAGTGATAAGAAAGGCAAAGAGAAGACGACATGCGAGGCTGCTTCTCGTGCACGGGCCTCGGGACTGACTCCTGTCCTACTTAAAACTCTAGTAAAAACATTTAGTACATTTTATACTTTTCAAGTTAACTAAGACCACAGGTCATTCAATGACGTTAGGATGACGTTGCATGATTGGGCATTTTAATCTGACACAAGACACTGAAAATGTCAAGATTTCCATGGTTGGAAGTTGGAACCATGGAATGTGTATACATACATATATATATATATATATATACAGTGTTGGGGAGTAACGGAATACATGTACCGCCGTTAC